TATATAATTATATAATTATTTTTTATTATTTTTATTTTACCATAAGCATTTTCTATTGTTATTTTGTGAGATTGATTTATTAAATAACATCTAGTCTCCTCATTAAACTGTTCTGATGCATGACTCATTGCCATTAGCGCTGTAGTTTCACACAGTTGCATGCAGAGTCCAAAGTGAACACTCAGCAAGCGCCAAATGCTTGTAATAATTGGTTTTGGCAAGGACTAAAACAAATAAAACTGGCCAGTTGGTTGTTTTTAGGAAACAAAACCAGGTTAAAAACAGTCAGTCTGTATCATACAAGCAATCAAAACCCGAGGAGCAAGATTACATTATTATATGTGTGTGTGTGTGTGTGTGTGTGCGCCTTCATATGCATGCTTATCTGTGACTATATTACAATACATCATGGTTAGTGGATAATTAAAATATTAAAGAAACAAAGATTTATTACAACATTATTTTATTAGGCACATAATTGATAACCCTGCACTTAAAGTTTTAGCACATGTCATGTAAGCCGAGGTTAATAATCTCTGTGGGTGTTGTGCAGTGATATTGTGAACATATGTTTGACATCATAGCTGTTTTAATCGTGTGCTTGTGAATGACTGGAACGCTGAACTGACCAATCAGCTTCCAGAACCATCCATTTTATAATGTATTATTTACCACAGTATTTTGGAAGCAGCGATTTCTACATTTGAGCCAACTGTTGGCCGCTCTTGAAAGGCTGCTGTGAAGGATATGCTGTTCAGAGACGACATAGTGTGTGTATGTGTGTGTGTTGGGTCTGCAGTATATAAAAGGCAGATCCTCTTGAGCCAAATGAGTAGGAAGTACACATGGCTTGAGCAAACAGCGGTAATAAAATTCAGCATTAGCTGCTAAAGCATATCACATTCTCTGACCCTGTAGCCAACTCTCCACACAAATACTGCAGCTCCAAACATGCCTATTTAGACCAATTGCTTTTACAGTTTTTATGCACCTCATAATGTTCTCTGCAAGGTACAAGCTTGCTTTTCATTTTTAATCAAGATTTAAAACACTTCAAAGCCGCATGTTTAATCAGTAAGTCTGTTAAATCTATCATTACCCTGCAGAAAATCCAGCTATATCTAATGCTAGTTTGTTTTGCGTGGTTTCTGGATGGTTATTTACTAGCTGGACTAGCTGGTGAGACTGACTTGTTTAAGCTGCTAGGATCTTGGGTTAGGTTATGTTACAAAATAAAATTTTGACTTTTTATTTAACTTGTTTTGGCCAGAATGGTCTCTGTAAGGTTGTGCGATATTTATCGTCTGCAGTGATATCGTTATTGTTGTTTTAACGATGTGCGATTATCGAGTAATTTGCTAAAAAACAAAAACACGTCTTGAAAGTCCAAAAGCTTTCACTGTGATGGTGTGATGAAGCCTATTCGAAAGTAAGAATGACCCTATAAATCTATCAATAAATATCAGCCGTTTTGAATGAATCATTTGAGTCAATGATTCAATAATCCATTCATAAAGACCATCACTTGTTTCGTTTCTAAATGAATCAGCCGTTTTGAATGAATCATTTGAGTCAATGATTCAATAATCCATTCATAAAGACCATCACTTGTTTCGTTTCTAAATGAATCAGCCGTTTTGAATGAATCATTTGAGTCAATGATTCAATAATCCATTCATAAAGACCATCACTTGTTTCGTTTCTAAATGAATCAGCCGTTTTGAATGAATCATTTGAGTCAATGATTCAATAATCCATTCATAAAGACCATCACTTGTTTCGTTTCTAAATGAATCAGCCGTTTTGAATGAATCATTTGAGTCAATGATTCAATAATCCATTCATAAAGACCATCACTTGTTTCGTTTCTAAATGAATCAGCCGTTTTGAATGAATCATTTGAGTCAATGATCCATTCATAAAAACCATCACTTGCTTTGTTTCTAAGCCGTTTTTAATGAATCATTTGAGTCAATGATTCAATGATCCATTCATAAAAACCATCACTTGCTTTGTTTCTAAATGAATCAGCTGTTTTGAATGAATCGTTTGAGTCAATGATTCAATGAAATATTCATAAAAACCATCACTTGCTTTGTTTCTAAATGAATCTGCCATTTTGAATGAATCATTTGAGTCAATGATTCAATGATCCATTCATAAAATCCATCACTTGCTTTGTTTCTAAATGAATCAGCTGTTTTGAATTAATCATTTGAGTCAATGATTCAATGATCCATTCATAAAATCCATCACTTGCTTTGTTTCTAAATGAATCAGCTGTTTTGAATTAATCATTTGAGTCAATGATTCAATGATCCATTCATAAAAACCATCACTTGCTTCGTTTCTAAATGAATCAGCCGTTTTGAATGAATCATTTGACTCAATGATTCAATGATCCATTCATAAAATCCATCACTTGCTTTGTTTCTAAATGAATCAGCCGTTTTTAATGAATCGTTTGAGTCAATGATTCAATTATCTATTCATAAAAACCATCACTTGCTTCGTTTCTAAATGAATCAGCCGTTTTTAATGAATCATTTGAGTCAATGATTCAATGATCCATTCATAAAAATCATCACTTGCTTCGTTTCTAAATGAATCAGCCGTTTTTAATGAATCATTTGAGTCAATGATTCAATGAAATATTCATAAAAACCATCACTTGCTTTGTTTCTAAATGAATCAGCCGTTTTGAATGAATCATTTGAGTCAATGATTTAATGATCCATTCATAAAGACCTTCACTTGCTTTGTTTCTAAATGAATCAGCCGTTTTGAATGAATCATTTGAGTCAATGATTTAATGATCCATTCATAAAGACCTTCACTTGCTTTGTTTCTAAATGAATCAGCCGTTTTGATTGAAACGTTTGAGTAAATGATTCAATGAATCACTCATTAAGGCAGGGGCTTGCTGCCACCTCCTGGCGGTTTTAGAGTCATATTTATTTATCCTTGACTGGCCTAAACCAGCAAAGGTAACAGCACAAAAACACACTCAGCAAAATATAATTTAATTATCATCATCAAAAAAATCCAAATAAATATAAAGATATCATTTTTTGTCAATATTGCTTTCAAACTTCCAACTTGAACAGGAAGAGACCAACTGACTGACATGCAAAATGACCAACCACAGTTTGTTTAGTATCCCTTTTTCACTTATTTTGACCACCCATACTGTTTTTTCAGGGTATCTAGAGGAGGCCTGCATCGTCCCCTGCCCGTCTGATTGTAAACTCAGTGAATGGTCCAACTGGTCTCGCTGCAGTAAATCCTGTGGCAGTGGGGTCAAAGTTCGCTCAAAATGGCTCAGAGAAAAGCCTTACAATGGAGGAAGACCCTGTCCAAAACTGGATCACCTTAACCAGGTAAACATCATGCTTCTATATGCATGGAGGAATCAATTTGGAAGGTATTAAATGTTCAATGCATGGTTTTATATAGATATAGTCCATGACATGAAGGCGCAGGAGTTTTCAAATAAATATATTTGCTTAATAAATTAAATAAAGCAAAGAATTTTAAAAATATTAGATGTTAAATTACATTGTTTTATATGGATATAACTCATGACATGGAGGCGCAGGGGTTTCAAATAATACATTTGCTTAATAAAATAATCAAAGGAAAGAATTTTGAAGACATTAGATGTTAATGTACATTGTTTTATATCTTACTAGCTTGAGTACCATACTAACTGAAATGGAACCTACAATACAGATTTGCATTACAATTTTGGATTCCAATCTCACAGATACAACAGATCTTGGCGTAGTATATCGCTAACAAAGCATATTCTAATGAGCATAAATATACCATATGTGTTATTATAGTTAACTAAAACTAAAACCATTCAAATAAATTGCTACTTGAAATAAAGTTTTGTTTGTTTAACTTGAAGTACTAAAATAACTCAAACTAAATAAACTAAAATTAATAAACAAACATGAATAAAAAATTTAAATTAATAACACCAAAACATAAATAGCATGTGCAAATACTGCATTAAATAGTACCATTTTATTTGGATTAAACTGCTACTTTTTGATGGTGAATAAATTATAAGTATACTTAAAATCATTTCTCTTTCCTCATCTCTCATTTTAAATGGGTGAAGTTTGGATGGAGCGTATTGTAATGCATTGTGGGATTGCCAAAATTTGTCCAAAAGAAGGCATCAAGCATGCTGATTTGTCATTCCTTAAGGCGTAGAAGTACACCTGTGATATCTTAAAATACTGCCTACATAGGCAGTTCACTAGGCTTTGGAACAAAGTTCAAAGTTTCCCTCAATTTCTGGAACCGCTGGCTTTGATTATGCAGTGAAGATCCAAAAATAGGTTCACAAGTGAATCTCAAATTATTCAGAAACGCGTGTCTTTTCATCTCCGTTTTTTTTTTTATTGAGATTTGCTAGAAATAGATGACTCCACATCAAAGCGTTTCTGAGATCTTTGCTCCTGACAAATAAGCACTCTTGGCTTTGGTTTAATTTAAATGCTCTCCTTTTATTAGTTAATGGATTATCAGGGTGGTTACAGGTCATGCTGTTTTACATTTGACGAATTTGAACATGTCTAGAGAAAGAAATGACACAGACTTCTCTACTCTGTCAATGTGAAATCAAAATTAAACCTACAGTATTTATTTTCTTAACAGACATTTCTGATCTTGTAAACTGTATTTCATGTTGAGTTTGAGCAATGCCGTTTTTAAAAAAGATATACAATAATAAGAAGTGCATTCTTAACTAAACATGATGTTTTATGGTGCTTTGGTCTCTAGACGCAGATGTTTTAATGACTAATGATTTTTCCATAACTCTCCAATAATGCTGCTCGGCCACAGGCACAGGTAATAACGCTTTCTTCTCATAAATGGTGTTTCGTTCTTTCTTTCTTTCTTGCATTTCTCATTCCAGAGTTAATTTAAATTCCTCTTATGGATTTTATGTTGTTGTGTTTGTCACTGTGGTGCGCGATTACAATTTTTAAAGCATTAGAGGCACAAGTCCCATGCTTTTGTTGTGAGAACTACTAGATATGTCAGATAAACTATTAACCTACCATGAAAAGTTGCCTCCCCTCAAAAAATGGTTTGTCCCACTTTAAAACTATGGCGCCCTAGCAACTGGCGCACTTGAATCAAAATGATTATTTTGAAATCATCTGTTGAATTAATGTCCCGATTGATTGATTGATTTTATTGAATTCTAATTGAATTATTTTAATTGAATACTTAATTGATTTTAATTTTTGAGTTGAATTTTAATTCATTTATTTTGTGCATTTAATTTTGCTCTTTATTATGTGTATTTATTTATTTATTAATGGCTGACGTGGTAGGACAGGAGGCGGAAGTTGCCGTCTGGTGGGATGAAGGACAGAATTCGCTCGGCTTCCCAACGCTTGAACCGAACACAGGGGTGGAAGCTGACATCATCCAGGAGTCGAGGGTTCTACAGAATGAAAGATGTAGGCGTAAAATGTAAAGAAAGAAAAGAAAATGTGGGTTAGTATGCAGTAATATAGAATATATTACAAACTTGAACTTCAAAGTGCAGTTGGTAATTTGTCCCTCATTGCATAATTGCACATTCGAAAGCATAAATGCAAATTCTGCTAAATGCATAAATGTAAAAATGTTCGACATATAAAAAATGTAATAGCCATTTTGAAAGGTAAAGGTGTCAGCCCAAGACATCTTACTGGCCAGAGAAACTCAAGCAAAACATTACACAGTGCACCCTTTATATTTTAATTTTAGTATTTTTGTTATGTGCTTCTGTCATTTTATTTTTATAGTTTGTTCGTTTTATGTTTGTTTAGATTTATTTTAATTTCAGTTTTAGTTTTTTAGGAATTGTAGCACTTCAACTTTTTCAACAATTTATTTCTAATTTTCATTTAAGGGTTTTAAGTTTATTTATATTTTATTTCAGCTTCATTTCAAACCCAAAAATGTTTTTTTTATTTTATTGATCATTTTATTAGTTATTTTATAATTCTGTTTAGCATTAATTAATTTATTTCAGTTTTAGTTTTAGTAATTTTAAAACTTATTTATTTCAGTTAGTTGCCAAGGCAACATTTCTAATTTTGCTTTAAGTTATTTAAGTTTTATATAGTTTTAATATTTATATTTTATTCCAACTTTATTTAAATCTCCCAAATAGTAGCAACACTGATTAACAATAACAAGACTGTTTGTTTTTTTTAATCCTAAGCATCTGAGACATGTCTAAGAAATCCCTTAAATCTGAGCAATAACATTTTTGGCTTATGCTAACAGAGATATGGTTTTATTCTGGGTTTTATGATTTCAGTTAGAGCCAACTGACATTGGGGCATAAATAGTGGCATAAAAAAATCAGAGCAGGTCACTTGTTAGACATTTAATAAACCGCTTGAGGAGAAATATGAGAGAATTATGAGCTCATTAACATAAATGAACAGCAGTCTGTTTTATTGGCCTCTTAAAGCCGTGTTCTGGAAGAGGAGATCGAGAGAGGACGGCGTTTGCCCTGCGTCTGCCTAAAGAGGGAGAGGACTGTCCGGTTAGCATGCAGACCGAGCCCTGCCTCCTGAACCGCAACTGCTTTCACTACAGTTACAACATCACCGGTGAGTAGACCAATGGGGTGTCCCAAATCGCGTACTTATGCACTATTCTATGACGGGTTTTTTGTATAAATAGTGCGAGTATTGCATTCACACTGAAAATTCCAAAAAGAAAAAGTGCACTTTAAATACCCGGATGATGCACTTAAATAGCAGAAAAAACTAAGTGTGGAATGTTGGACACTTCATGCACTCAACTGTCTCAGCTTTAATTACGTAGTGAAGGGGGAGGGGCTATCAGACTCCGATTATGAATGACAAAATAACCTTATATAATTCATGCACTACATGGTTGAGTACATAGTGCATAAGTACATGAGTGCATAGTGTATAGTGCGTCCAGGGGCATCTTTAGATAACCAAAGGCCCCTGGGCTACAGCATTACAAATCCTATTTTTCTATCCCCGGATTTAATATTGAGAATTTGAATAGCAGTACTATTTATGGAACACAGATTACTTCCAAGCAAGTTACTGAACTCTCACTGTATGACGTTACAGAATGTTGTCCGGTCCAGTTCTGCACAGCAGTGTTGTGTTTCTGTTAATCTGCGTGTTGACATAAAGATACTCTCGTGCTGCGGTTAATTACTAGCGAATGCATTGTACATTCCGCTTACAGTATATCGATGGAACACGTGGAACATACCAACTATACAAACTGTGTGGGGGGAACCTAAACTGAGCCATTCACTATATAGGCCACTACAACCAGGGAGTCACTGAAAATGAGTGTGTGAGTTTGTTTACAGAACACTGTTGTCACTGCTGCAAACTCCCATATAAATAATTATTCAAAAAATAGAAATTTCCCTGCAGCCAGTGGGCCCCCTTTCCAGTGTAGGCCCCTGGGCTTCAGCCCCTTGAAGCCCGTGCATTAATGCGCCCCTGAGTGGGACGCAGCTCAAAACTGCAAAGTGTTTCCCCAAACAGGTTTCCTAACTATGGTTGCTCGATTTGCAGAGCAAAAATCTTAATTGAATGCAAATTAAAATCCAAATAAATAGATAATTAATAAAAAAAAATACAGGTTTGCTTGGATTGTTTCTAGGGCTGCACATTTTTGCCTACATTTTGGCCAACACTTTATAACAATATGGCTATAAAATAATAATAATAATTTGTTATTTTTCATAGTTATTATTTATAATGTTTAATTTATTTTAAATAATAATTTCAAAATGTGATTCTTATTTTTTTTTTTAAGTTAAGCCCTTGTTTGTAAAGCTGCACATGGCCAATAATAATAATTATTATTATTTTAATATTATTTTTATTATTATTATTGGCCAAATTGTGCAGCACTAAAAACAAGGGTGTTTAAAAAATATATTATTAGTTATTCTTATTATTGGCCATGTGCAGCCTTAAAAACAAGGCCTTTAATAAACAAAACAAAATTAATCACATTTAAAATTCTTATTAGTATTACTACTACTACTACTACTAACTAACTAAAAATATATACATTTCTAAATAAAAACAAAATAAGAAATATTGGTACTGTAATATTTCACTGTAAAATAAAAAAAATCACGTATTTAAGAAAAATAACAATTTAATATTTTACATTAAATTATCTACATTTGATTGGATTCTGGATGTGAACTGATTCAAACTAAATTAATTTACATGAAATTCCGAAGAAGAAGGACTATTGTAAAAACAGTAATATTGTAAAAATATTATTACAATTGAAAATAATTGTTTACTGTCTGAATAAATTTAAAATGTAAATCCTGTGATGCAAAGCTGAATTTTCAGCATCATTACTCCAGTCTTCAGTGTCTCAAGTGTCAGATATCATTCTAATATGTTGATTTGCACGCGTTTTGCTGCTGAATATTTTTATGGAAACTGAAAACATTTTGTTTCGGGATTCTTGATGAATAGAAAGTTCAAAAGAACACCATTTATTTGAAATAGAAATATTTTGTTACATTAGAAACATCTCATACTTCTGTCACTTATATACATATTAGGGATGGGAAGATTCCCCGATTCGCGCGGTGCATCGGCATAAAAAGTTAACGATGCGATGCATCGGTTTAAAAAGTGTGTATCGGCTACAAGTCGGCATTTATACATTACCGCTGCTGCGTGAATATGACGTATCACAACACCACGAAGACCCGAGAAAAAACTGGGATTAAAGTCCAAAAACTGACTTGAAATAACCTAACACATCAATCGGGGCTAAAGCGATTCCATAAATGACAAATTAAATTCACACAATCTCACTAATTTGTGCACGCTTATTCTTAAGCAGCCCGTAATGTAGATCATGGATCAAATCGATCCACCATGACAAACAGCGAATATATTCGTGCTGTTTAATGCATTTGAGAAGTTGTGTTTTCCTTCATATAAGTGTATTTTTATGATAGCAGTAGGTAACCGTAAAGGGATTATTGTAATGAGTAAATCAAATGTAAATTAGTATGCTACAGTACTAATTACTAAGCTCAAATGAGATAATGTATGTTTCTTATAGCAGTTTAGAAGTCATTTTTTTTCTTTATTTTCATTTTAATTCAGTGATTTTAATTTAGTTATTTTAATGCTTTAAAGAGAAATTTTAGATTGCAATGTTCTAATGTTCTGCTATCTGTTCTGCAAAGGTACAGCTGTCATAAAACCAGAGAGAGCCTTTCTGCTTGGCTAGAAACTGTAAAAAAAAAAAAGTTGCACTGTAACAGCTCTAACACTGTTCCTATTGGTCAGTGTTAGAGGAACTCAGCTTAGTCTGACAGTTAACCTGCTTTAGACCAGGTTAGTTTCCCAGCATACGTTGCCACAGAAGTTGATCTATGTTAAATTTGCTTTATGGAACCAAATCATTTGACAATGAGTCAGACTAACTGAAATAAGCCTGGCTTATTTGGTAAACTTGTTTTATGAAACAGGCCTTGAGGCATTAAAGTGATCATATTTTCTCCATTGCATCGTATTGTCTCGAATCGCATTGTGTTGAATCGAAAT